AATAAATGTTTCCTCCAGTCCTTATGAGTTGCTGGAATCCAGAAATAGCTTCTCAAATCTATCATTTTAAATGGCATCGTTCACAGCTCTCTCACATGGATACTGTGATGCACACACATCACTTTCTCTTTTTAAAGACCATGAAAAATTTGAGCTCAGTGACTTTGGGGTTGTTTTCCGGCCCTGAAATAAAAATTATGTTTACAGAGAAAAATATAGCCTTTACATGGGTTTTTAAAGAAAAATAGTAACCCAGGGGAGGAAAAGGACAGGAAGAATATTGTGTCCATATAGATCATAAACTGGAACAGTAAAAACGTCTGGCAGGCAGTAATTGCTGGCCAGCTGCAGGGATTGTGGTCCTGTGAGTTGTGTTCAGGGCAGTGTGCCAAGACGCCGGCAACCAGAGGACTGGCCTGGACCATCCCAGCCCTCCGTGAAGTCGACTGGGGCCTGAGTGTGTAAATAAGAGGGTGACCTCCTCCGGCCAAGTTCTCTCAGAGCACAGAGTCTTGAGGCCGCCTCTCTCTGATGCCTCTGTTGGAACCAGGCTACTGGCTTGGGGATTGATGGCAGTCTTAGGGATGACTCTGGCAGCATCTCTGGTCAGGAGAAGGTTCATTAGCCTTGAGTGTCATATTGATATTTTCCCCTGGAGAAGCCAGAGAGCACATTTCAAGGGTGAGAAGCCCATGAGAACCTCCTGGCTCAGTGCTTGGGAAACTATCAGTGTCTCGGGCCAGAGAAAGGGAGGGAAAGAGTGTGGGTGCTGCCTGCCTTCTGCCCACTCATTTGTTCCTTTCTCGAAAAAAACCCAACCCCAAGCCAGCAGTGGGTGGGCTGTTGGGCATAAGGACAGGGTGGGTTCCTCATCTTAGTTGCTTAGTTGCTCCATCGCTGTCGTAAATGCCCACTGGCTCCCACTCGGTACTCCAGTGTCTGCCAGTTGGGCTTTTATCAGAACATCTATGAACAAGCGAACATTCCAAAGAGACGTGGAGGGATGGGTGCTGGAGGAGTTGGGTGTGTTGCTGCTGGGAGATGGCAGGACACTACATCTGTCACCTTGCTTTCAGTCTCTCCCGCCCACTCACACCTGGCCAGGCTGGGGCGCCTGAAGACAGAGCAGGCCTACCCTCCGTGAGCTGTGAGTCTTGGCCCCAGGTGCTGTTTTAAGATCCTAGGTTGGAGCTTCCCTGGTGGCACAGTGCTTAAGAATCCACCTGCCAATGCAGGGGACACGGGTTCGAGCCCTTGTCCGGGAAGATCCCACATGCCGCGGAGCAACGAAGCCCGTGCGCCACAACTACTGCGCCTGAGCTCCAGAGCCCGCGAGCCACAACTCCTGAAGCCCGCGTGCCTAGAGCCCGTGCTGTGCAACAAGAGAAGCCACCACAGTGAGAAGCCTGCGCACTGCAACAAAGAGTAGCCCCCGCTCGCCACAACTAGAGAAAGCCCGCACGCAGCAACGAAAACCCAATGCAGCCAAAAATAAATAAATTAAAAAACCCAAAAAAACCATAGGTTGTATTAATTGTTTAGGTATGGTGACAGGAGACGACACATCAGGAGCCCACTGCCACTGAAAACATAGCTTGTTACTTGCAGTTCCCAAGAGATGGAGGGATGCCATGCCATGCAGGGCCACCTGGGGAGGCACCAGGGACAGTCAGAAGTCAGAGGGAGTGAGGACAGGAGCTTTTACTGGGGGAAGGCATGGGTGAGGCAGGATAAGCAGGCTAAGCAGGTTCAGGGTTTTTTTGGTTTAGGCTAGTTTGAATGATTTCAGCAGGTTTGGGGGCCCTGGGGGCTGTCCTAGTGGTCTGGCCAGGGGGAGATTAGGGCAGGGGAACAGTGGCCCAGAGTGAAAGAGCCCCTGAAGGAGGTGGTAGGGATGCGGGCTCTGGATTGGCTAGTTGGCAATGAAAGATGTAATCCTTTGCTCCCTCAAGGAATTGGCGAGTCCTGGGAGGGGCAGTCCCTCCAGGGTCAGCAAGGGCCCAGATGGCAACGCATCAAAACATGTGGTTAATACAGGTGCACACAGCGCCAGCATGAAAGGGAAAAGTGCTCCCATGTGGGAGGAGTAACAGATGAAATGCTCGGGGCAATCTGGGGAGAAGCAGCTGCCTGCTTTGATGGCTTCAGTTTGGTGTTTGAAGGGGTGAGTCCAGAGAGGGGAGGACGTCTCAGTGGGAGGAGAGGGCTGAGCCACCAAAAATAGGACGTGTGGTAGTTAGGGGTGAGGTTGGCTGCAGGCAGAGAGTCTGCCTGGACAGAGGCCCAGTATGGGAAGGCGTCTGCGGGGCTTAGCAGGAAACAGTTGGGACCCTCAAGTAAGGCCAAAGCAGGTCTTGAATGCCAAGCTGAGGCATTTGGATTTTATTCTGTATGAGCTGCCAGGGCTGTTTTGCCCTTAGGAATTCTCCTAATGAATTCATAGACTCCTACAGAATGACTCCGCTTGGCTGTGTATCATAATCACAGAACTTAATTAACAAATTAGGATGCTGATGTAAATTTATTCTGGATGAAAAATAGAAATCCACTGTGGCAGGGCTTGAAAATGCAGTGCCTCCCAGGCTTGCAGGTAACGTCGGCGAGCGGAGAGGGCTCTGGGGATCGTGGGGGGCGGCCATGCCCCCAGTGGAGGGGTTGACGGCCTCAGACCTCCAGGGAATCCCATCATGGGAATGGGGTCCAGTGTTGCCAGATTTTCTTTGTTTTCAAGAAAGCCTGGAAATGCAGATCCTTGTTGTGAAATCACTTGGTCGCTTGGCAATGCATTAGCTAAACTCCGTCCTCCCTATCAGCACAGGGGAAGGCACTGAGAGGCCAGCTGTGTGGACCCTTGGTGGCCTCTTTCTGCTCTCCTGTCACCCCAATTGAATTGTGAGGCTCAGAGAGGAAATGGGGTGATTTCAAGGTGTTCCTCCATTGGGGAACTGAGGCACGGCAGGTCAGGGGTCAGATCTGGCATCCAAAGACCTTCTGTGAGGTCGGAGTGAACCAGTCTGTGGTGCTTCATTGGTATTTCCTCGTTGCCAAAACTCATGAATTCTCTCATTGATTCAGTGAATATCGAGCGCCTGCTGAGTGCCGGCCGAGACCAACACTACACACACAAAATCAGAAAACGTGATGGGATACTGTCTCAAAGTATATTCTCGTTGTAATTATTTTTCAGCAAAACAAAACCTAAAAGGCGCTGTGATCGGTCCCTTATTTTGCTGTTGCCATGAGGGTGATGCTTCCTGCAATGATGCTCTGGCACCAAAGGAGGAAATACTGGTGACCGACAGGGTGGGATGAGGGGGTGATGGGAAGGAGGGATGCGCGAGGCTCTCCCTGCCCACGCCACCTGGGCTGCTTCCATCCGTGTCCTGGGCTGTGAGCTTCAGGCTCTGAGCTCCGTGCCCAGGCCTGAGCCTTCTTGACCTTGGGGGACGCCTGGCGCCTCGGGTGATGCTGGCACCGAGCAGGCCCGCAGATGTCCCCCAGGGGAGTGAATCGCATGTGGCAATAGCTGGTTTCGGTGGAGAAGAGTTTAGCCACAACGACCATAGGAAAAGTTCCAGTAGAAACACAGCATTTCAAAATGCAAGTTAAGAGAGTGGGTACAAACGGAGTTTGTAGAATGACCCGACATTATGGTGACACCATTATTGGGTCTGTGACTGTTTTATTGGTTTCACGATGATCTGGGAAAAGCTGAGAGGTTTTCCTACGGACTGTCAGGCTCCTTTGGCACTGTGCCCTGTTGTGGTTGGGATGGACGGAGGACATGGGCAAAGGCAGGGTGGGGTCATGTTCCTCAGACAACTATCTGTGGGGTGGTTAGATGGCGTCTGGGGAAGCTATGCTCATGGAAAACGAGCCTGCGCTCACAGTGTGCCTGTGTGTGCTTGTTGTTAGGTCTGTCCTCACTGCCCCCCACCCACACGAGATGGCCAGGTTGTGAATTCTAGATGCTTTATGAACTAAAAAGATCTTGGTACCCTCCTTTTAATTACAAATAGGAAGAACATTAAAGCATGCAATTATGACCCAGAAAGTATCAAACAAAATTTTTAAAAATTTGCTGTTTCCTCTCTCTCGTTGAGTGATTGATGGGTATCCTCATTTCATTGGCGTCTGAAGCACAGGTTTGCCCTGCCTGTTGGATAACCTAGCACGATGGGCACCTGTGTGCGTACGTCTGCCTATGTGTGCACGTGTGTGTGTGAAATGTTTCAGAAATTGACGTTAAGATCGGAGCTGTTCACGGAAGGGAGGCTGCCAAGCCCAGGATTGTAGAGCATCAGCCTGCATGGGGCAGGGGGGTGACCTAGACAGGCGGGGCTTGTGCTTTCTGCAGCCGCGGGATTCTGTAAGATTAACCCACGGGTGATGCCTGGGGACAATCCCACCCCACTTTCCAAGCTGCTCTGAGGAGGACCTCTGTTCACCCCTACGCAGCTGCATCAGAGCGAAAGGCAGTGCTGTCCACAGGGCACGGGGTTTAAGGAAGGATGCTGAGAGCGCCTTTTGCACGAGGAACTGCAGGGCAGGATTTAGGTGGGCTGCAAATAATGACCCACCTGCAAATCTGACAGAAGCACCGGGGTTGGCGTGGCCTCCTTGTTCAGACTGTCCTTTTGAAATATGTTCTAGGGTATCACTCCTGTCCTATTAATTATGTCAGGAACTTAGTAAAGCTGAATAATTAATGATCTCAGTGCACTAGGAGCTATAACATGCCACGTAAATGTTAAGGAGTAAAAATTACTCTGCGTATTAAATAGATACCCTGCTTTAAAAATATTCCATGGTGGGAAGGTTAATTTCCAGAGCAGCTGAAAAGCTTTTTGTTGGACTCTCTTCAGAAACTTTTGCCACCTTAAGTACATTTTAGGAGACCGAGGCGTTCTGTATCTGAAGTATTTGAAAGACAAATGGCTGTTTGGGATGATGTTGCCTATTGGATTTTGGTAAAGTTGTGTCTGCTTGATTCTCTCTAGCCAGAGGCAGTTTGGGCCCAAAGCCAAGGAAGAGGTCAAGATTATTGAGCACCAAACACAGACCCTGCGGCTGATGCCTCACCTGGCCACGGCCTTGGCCCTGACCTTCGCCAACAGGTGAGATGCCTCTGGGGGTTTGCCCTCTTGAGGTGAGTTTGCGGCTCTGGCATTAATAGGAGGCAGAAGAGAGAGGCAGGCAGGGGCTTCACTTCTTTTCTTTTGTAAAAACTTTTTTATTTTTTTAAAATTTACTTTTAACTGTGAACACGAAAGAGTCTGTGGTTAAAATCCAGTGCTCAGGTCAAACTTGCCATCTGAATCTTGGTAGTCCATATATCCTGATGATGGGGTCCACGAAGAATTTGGGAAGACCTGAACTGACGCTTCTCTAGAGTTTCTAAAAGAAACAGACTCAAACAGTTGAAATTTCTCTACCTCTGAAAACGGTTCTAATTTATACTAATATTTTCAAAAATAGGTCAAGGTGTGCACATATGGTGGCGGGCTATTGAATAAAAGAGCAGTAGGGGCTTCCCTGGTGGCGCAGTGGTTGAGAGTCCGCCTGCCGATGCAGGGGACACAGGTTCATGCCCCGGTCCGGGAAGATCCCACATGCCGTGGAGCGGCTAGGCCCGTGAGCCATGGCCGCTGAGCCTGCGCGTCCGGAGCCTGTGCTCCGCAACGGGAGAGGCCACAACAGTGAGAGGCCCGCGTACCGCGAAAAAAAAAAAAAAGAGCAGTAATAATACTGTAAATTCACACAGAACTTCACATTTTACAGCTGGCTCTTCTTATCTTTGTCTCATAAGCCTAGACATTGCCTGGGCAGTTGTGGGTCATTACCACATGGTAAAGATCAGAAATTAGGAGATTTGCCTAAGATCACAGGGTCCAGGAGTGGGTGGACTGGGAATGTAACTCCAGACTTTGGACCCTTATCTGTGTTCTTTCCTCCCCGTGCAATCCTGCTTCTTGTGGGAACTACGAGAATTAATTTCTGAATAATTTAGAACTGGCGTGTGTGTGAAACTGACCGCGCCAATGGGTAAGCTGGTGCCAGGGTTTATGAAAAGAAGGTGATTGGAGAGATTCTGCCTCTAGTGTGCTGCTGGCTTGTGGGGCTGCTCGGTGCTGCTGGCCTGGCTGGGAGGAGCTTGGGTGGGCGCCCCTCTGCCCTTATGCGCTCAACACTGGGATACTGGGGTGTGTGAACGGTGAATCCTGCAGGCTGAGCTTCGGTAGCAGCACTAAGATTGATCCAAGCCACCTGGAGGAAAATGTAAATCACTCACATCTCACATCTTCCTTAAAATATTCTTGAATGTCTTTTGAGGTTGAATTTGCATATTGTAAAATGCACAGATTTTATTGCTCAGTGAGTTTTGATAAACATATACACTGGTGTGATGAACACTTAAACCGAATCTAAAACATTTCCATCACTCCACAAGGTTCCCTCGTGCCCCTCTGCAAGTTGCCCCACTCACCACCACAGCAGAGACAACCACCTTTCTGATTTCTATCCCGATAGCTTTTTCTGCCTGTTGTTGACCTTCATATAAATGGAATCATACAGTATGTCTTTGTGGGTGTGTCCAGCTTATTTCGTTCAATGGAATGTCTTGATGTTCCTCAATGCTGTTGAGAGTTTAATTTTTATTGCTGAGTAGCAACATTCAGTGAATAAACCACATTTTTTTTTTTTTATCCATTTCTGTCACTGATGAACATTCAGGTTGTTTCCACGCTTTTAGCTTCTGTGAATAAGCCACAGTGAATATTCTAACACAAGTTTTTCATTTTTCTTAGGGTAAATGCTTAGAGAGGACTTGCTGGGTGTTGGGTATGTGTATGTCTAACTTCATAAGAAACTACCTTTTTTTCAGGGAGGTAGGACCATTCTACACTCTCTTGGGCAATATATGGGAGTTCCAATTGCTCTGCATCCTTGCCAGCCATTGTTATGATCAGGTTTTGTCTTGCTTTGTTTTAATTTTAGTTTATTTTGGTCTTTCTAATAGTTCAATTTTATTACCCTAATAACTAATGACATTGAGTGAGTATCTTTTCATGTACTTATTTGCCATCTGTATATTTTCCTCACCCATTTTTTAAAAGTTATTTTTATTTATTTATTTATTGGCTGCGTTGTGTCTTTGTTGCTGTGCGCGGGCTTTCTCTAGTTTCGGCGAGCAGGGGCTACTCTTCGTTGCGGTGCATAGGCTTCTCATTGTGGTGGCTTCTCTTGTTGTGGAGCACAGGCCCTAGGTGCACGGGCTTCAGTATTTGTGGTGTGCAGGCTCAGTAGTTGTGGCTCGCGGGCTCTAGAGCACAGGCTCAGTAGTTGTGGCGCACAGGCTTAGTTGCTCTGCAGCATGTGGGATCTTCCCGGACCAGGGCTCAAACCCGTGTCCCCTGCACTGGCAGGCGGATTCTTAACCACCGTGCCACCAGGGAAGTCCCACACCCATTTTTAAATTGGGGTATTTATTTTCTTATTGTTGAGTGTCAGAGTTCTTTTTATATTCTGGATAGATTCTTTGGCATCATATATGTGATTTGCAACTATTTTCTCCCAGTCTGTCACTTTGGCTTTTATTCTCTTAAAAGTGTCTTGATCAGAGCAATAGTTTTTAATTTTGATTTGATAGCTTTAAATTTTGATTTGTCTTGAAATTGGATAATGTGAGTTCTTTTTCAGAATTGTTTTGACTCTTCTCATTCCTTTTTGCCTGTCCTTATACGTGTTAGAATCATCTTGTAAATATCTACAGGAAAGATGGCTGGCATTTTGCTTGGGATTGTGTTGAACCTATAGATCAAATTGGGGAGAACTGACTTCTTAATGTTGAGACTTCCAATTCATGAACACCATGTATCTTTCCATTTTTAGAGGTCTTCTTAGATTTCTAGCTCCAGTGTTTTGTAATTTTCAGCACACAGCTTCTGCACATATTTTGTTATATTTATACCTAAGCATTTTACTTTTCTTTGGTGAAATTGTTTATTTCTAGTATATGGGAATAGGATTTACTTTAGTATGTTGATCTACAATCTTGTTTGTAGATTTTAATACATATAGGATTCTTCAGATTACCTGTTTCTTCTTGAATGGATTTTTATTTACTTCATCTAATTTGTCAAACTTATGGCAATAGTGTTGGTTGTGGTATTCCTTTATCATCCTTTTAATGTCTGTGGAATCAGTAGTGATTTCGTCTCTTTCATTCCTGATATTTTGTTCTCTCTCTCCCTCATCAGTTTGTATAGGTTTATCAATTACATTGCCTTTTCAAAAAAACAGATTTGATACAATTGATTTTCTCTACCGTTTTTCTGCTTTTAATTTTCTTGATATCTCCTCCAATGTTTGTTATTTCTTTCCTTCTACTTGCTTTGCTTTAATTTCTTCTCACTCTCTCTTAAGGTGAGAGGTTAGGTTACTGCTCTGAGACCTTTCTTCTTGCCTAATCATTTAGTACTAAAATTTCTCTCTAAACATTACTCTAGCTGCATCCCTCTGCTTTTGATACGTTGTATTTTCATTCAGTACAAAATAGTTCACAGTTTTCCTTGAGACTTCTGCTTTGACTGCTTTGGTTATTTGGAAGTACTGTCATGGTCCAAGAACATATTATGAAGGATTCTGTTCTTTCAAATTTAAGGCCCAGAACACACACACACACACACACATCTAACACATTCCACGTTGCGAAGAATATATTTTCTGTTATAGTTGGGACGATAGTTCTATAAATGCCAATTAGGTTAAGTTGGTTGGTTGTGCTCTGCAGACTATATACATTCTTTCTGATTTTCTGCCTACTTGTTCCATCAATGGCTGAGAGAAAGGGGTTGGCATTTGCAACTATAATTATAAATTTGTCCATTTCTTCTTTGAGTTTTATTAGTTTTTGTCTCAAGGATTTTGACGTTTTTTAGATGCATATACATGTAAGGATTATTATATTTTCTTGGACAATGATCCCTTTATCATTATGTAATTTTTCTCTTAATCCCTGAAAATATTCCTTGTCCTGAAGTCTATTTTGTCATATTAATATAGCTACTCCAGGTTCCTTTTCTTTAGTGTTTTCATGGTACGTCTTTTTCATACGTTCATTTTTAACCTGTCTATATTTTTAAAGTGGGTTTCTTTGTAAAACAGAGGATAGTTAGGTCTTGATTTTTTTATCCAACTTGAAAATCTCTGACTTTTAGTGGGTGTGTTTAGACCAATTGTATTTAAAGTGATTGTTGATATGTTTGGATTAAAATCCACATTGATAGCTGATTTTTATTTTTTCCATCTGTTTTTTTTGTTTCTTTTTCCTTTTTTTCTGCCTGCTCTTAGATTAAATGAATATTGTTTATTATTCCATGTTATCTCTTTGATTGACGTTATTTATACTACTTTTGGAAATATTTTCCTTGTTGACCCAGCGTTTACAGTATACATCTTTACTGAATTAGAGTCTGTGTTGAACTATTATACTGCTTCCCCTGTCGTGTATGGACCTAAAACAGTATATTCCAAATTCCTCCCTTCCATCCCTTTTTCTGCTATTGTTGTCACATAATTTACTTTTAAATATGCTGCAAACACACAATATATTGCTACTGTTTTTCTTTTACATAGTTATGTTTTAGAGCAATTAAAAATCAGTAAAATTGAATTTTATTTTACCTTTATTCAATTGCTAACACTGTTAATTTACTTGTATAGATCCAAATTTATAATTGATACCATATTTGTTCTGCCCGAAGAACTTCTAACATTTTTCTTGTAGAATAGGTCTGCTAGCAGCGAATTCTCCCAATTTTTTTTTTTTTGAGAAAGTCTTTATTTCTCCTTTCTTTAAAAAAGACATTACCAATATGTACAGAGTTCTGGGTTGATAGTTTATTTTTCTTTGAGCTTCTTAATGATCTCACTCTATAGGCTTCTTGATTCCTTGATTCTCATGAGAAAACAGCCATCATTTTTCTGGCTGTTTCCCTATATTCCCCATATATGCCCACTTTAACTGCTTTTGAGATTTTCTCTTTTTCTTTAATGTTCAGAGTTTGATTATGTTGGCCTAGGTGTGGTTTTGTGGTTTTGTGTGTCTGTGCTG